GCTGGTGGAGGTGTCATAGGCTGTTCAGTGGCTTACCATCTTGCAAAGCTTGGATGGAAAGATATTTTACTTCTGGAACAAGGAAGGTATGTGGACAGGGAAAATTATAATGACGGACTGGTCATAAAGTATAGGGGGGGGAGGGGGGGTCAAAATCAGGGGGTGGATCACATAATTTTTAATTCCTTCAAAGGGGTGGGTTGTTGATAAAATTTGACAACCAAAAAGGGTGGGCCATTACAAGATAGGGTAGTATTATAATTGTAATCATCAGAATTTCTCAAGGAAATTTGCAGTTGTAGAGCATCTGCTCATAGGAAGTATGTAGAACATCTGTAGTACCTCCGAATGAAAAAAATTAAAAGGGCAAATGAAAAGAGAAAAATAAGGAAGCAGAGAAACTTAAAGCATACGAAGACTATGACTAGAAAGACATACAAGAAAGCGGAATGCTTAAGAAGCAGAGGGTTGCAGTCGTCTTGGACCTCTTTAAAAATTAGAGCACAACTTGCTCAAGCTCAAAATGTACAAAAGTGTACAAAAGTGAGAAAGTCCAAGTAATAAATGCTTGGCTGTCTATACAGCTTTTAAATGCTACGACAAGTACAACAGAGGAAGAGCTAGAAGAAGATGGTGCTTCACGCGAAGACACTGAAGATGATGATAATTCATATGAGGACACTTATGAGGATACTGAAGATTTGGATAGCGACGAAGAAACTGACATTGTTACTCATGAAATAGGAATTACTGATAGTGAGGAAAACGATGGCAGAGTTCTAAAGAAGAAGTTGAAGCAGTCAATGTTACAATAAGTGGTAGACATGTGCAACCAAAAAAATTCTTTTGGGATTTAGATTTTTTTTCAGGGGTGGGTCATCTGCAATCTTGCTTCTAAACTGGGGTTGGGTCCTCCCATTGTCAGCATCATTTTATGATGGGCCAAGATAAAAAAAAACTGATTCTATTCTGATTTTGCCCCCCATCCACCCCCCAATACTTTATGACCAGTCCCTGATGCAAAAAATTATAAATATGACTTTGTTTGATGGTTATTAGAGTACAAGCCATACATCTGTGAAATACTACTAACTACTGTAATTAGTCACAAAATAGCACCCAAAAAAAAGGAAAATAAAAGAAATAGATGTGCTTAGAGCTATTTAGTTTTTGTGCTATTTCAAGGATATATGGATATATCCATCAATCCATCCATCAATTCAACCATCCATCCATCCATCCCTCCATCCATCCATCCCTCCATCCCTCCATCCCTCCATCCATCCTTCCATCCATCTCCCTGTCCATCCGTTTATACATCCATTCATAGGTTCAATCATCTTGCTTACTACAGTAATGACATGTTGTATTTATATTTCTAGTGTGAGTGGAGGTACAACATGGCATGCTGTAGGATTGCTCGGCAAACTAAGGGGAACAAGACTAGAAACCTACATATGTGATTATGCTGAAACTCTTTATAAAAGACTAGAAGAAGAGACAGGTTTGCAATCAGGTAACCAGAAATAACTTAGTCCAAGGCTACTGCAATTTTCATAAACATGCAAACTCTGTGTATGCAAGCTGCACACTGAAATTAGGATTTTCTTTGCCATCAATCAAACCTAATCAGTAGGCGAAAAACCAAATTTCAGCGTAAGGCTTGCAGACACAGAGTTCTCTTATTTATGAAAATATCAGTAAATTGAGGGATTGCTTCAATGAACTATAATGGCATGCTACCCAATGGGTCATTGAATTAAGAAGGATCCTTCACCCTAGTGAAGGGATTAACCAAAGGGATTTAAATTTTGAGGTTCATCATTCATTGTTCTGTTTTAGGTTTCAAGAAATGTGGTGGTTTACTTATAGCTAGAAGTGATGACCGACTGACGGCAGTAAAAAGAACAGCTGTACAAGCAAGGT